GGGATGAAATCACAATGAGAGCCACCTCTCAACTTGGGTTGAATTGGAGTTTTCAGTTTTATTTCCCCTGATGTTAGGAATAGACTATCAAACACCAACGAGTTATGACTGCATGGCTTCTTTTCATCCTTCTGAACTTCTATAGTGGCCACTATTTCTTTGGCGTTTCCAAACAGCTTGTTGATACGAACAATGATTGTGCGTGATTTCTCATACTGACTAGAATCAACAGGTTCTAAAGTAGTCCCTTGCGTATCTGACACCTCGAGATTGTTTTCATTGAGTTCTTTCTTTTCTTTTGTAGAAGTTTGTCTCTCTTCCTTTGTACAAAACATCTATTCTATCCATCATCTTGGACATTTTCTCTTTTATCTCTCTTATCTCATTGTGCTCTTCGTCAGACATATGATCTTTATGTGCGCAACTCTCCACTATTTTCGAAGCTTTCTCAGGATGCCATTTCTTGACTGTGTTATAGTCTGTTTGATCACGAAACCCCTTGTCCGTCATGAAAACCTTTTACTATGATGACCACTGACAAATCAACACCTTTTGATTATGTCATGGTCATGTAATACAGATAAAGAGAAAAAAACAACATAGAAACAAGTTAGTACAAATAAGATAACAAAACGACAAAAAGCAATAATAACAAAATAAATAAATTAAAGCTAATAAGAATGCAAGTGCAAGTGCAAATGCACAAGGTGTTAATTCCAAAAGTGACCACCATAGAACAACCTTCATTTAGACAACAAGAATTCAGTATACCATGTAGTCAAAATATAAATGTGATTGTTCATTTCTTCATTTCCTTGAGCCGTACTCTTCATGGAATCTAATATTACACCCAAAGTTGTCGGCGTACTTTATCACATTTGATGACACCAGATGTCTTTAAATTGAATCTTGAGGTCTCCATTTTTACTTTCAATATGAAGTGATCTTCATGTCTTTGTGAAGGGTCTTCTTGTCCTTGGTATAATTGTATCTATCTTCTGAGGGAATATCTTGGCCTTCACTCCTTTAAAGGAAGTCTTCAATCAGCTTAGGATTTCTTCATTCATCGGATGCCCTTCTTCGTGGATCATTTGAACATCTTTGAATCTCCTGATTTTGACTACATTGTTAAGAATTTCTTGTCTCAATATGTCCAGCTTTCTTATTAGTCAATCACTTGCGAATTAACACCTTGTGATGACATAAAGATGCGAATGCAATAAAATCAATAAAATAGACATAGAACAACAATGGGCTAGTGCACATAATATCAACAACAAAATAATAAGTATCATAATCATTAAATAAAACCTACCCTCACATGATGGCTACCCAATCATGCCTTAGTAGATCCTACCCAACATGATATCTACCCCCATGCTTTATTTGAACATTAAAACCCTAACCGCATGATATCTAATTCGCATGCTTGCTCGAGAAAAATAAACCTAACCGCATGATCTCTAGTTCGCATGCATTTATTCGAAAAGCAAAAATAAATGACTCAAAAAGCTTTTCCTTGTGTACCCTCCATACGAGACTCTTAAGGTTCGGGTTAGGCTCGACCTAAGTTCGGGATCTATGTTCACTATATGCTGGGTTCAGTTATAAAGTAATAGGTTCTCGAATTGTCCTTGTCAGTACCCCCTTGGGCTGCCGAACCCTCAATCTTGGCCCATCACAGGCTTTAGGGGATCGAGTTCAATTTCGAGGGAACACACCTCCTTATGTCCATGCGGAGGTGATTACCATCACGAGGACCATAAGGTGTGAGCTCCAGGAGCGATCCACTATCCCATGCGGAGGTGAAAACCACATGAGGGCATAGTCTCTCACTCCTACTTAATTAGGACGGAGAGGGGTTTTAGCTCATGTCATGAAAATGTAGCTGTGCAGTGTGTGAGGAAAAGCGAAAAAACACACAATAAAAAACTCAGAACCAATTCCCAAAACACACAATTATTATGAAACCATTAGCAAACAAATCAGTACAACTATTTATTAGTTAATCGAATTAAATTAAAAAAAATCAAAATACAAACAAAACTTATTAAAAACCAAACAAGTGATCAAAAATCAAATTAAAACGAATTTATAATTTTCAATTGCAAAGACAATTAATTAATCGACTATCGGCCTGATTCTCTAAAAAAAGTCCCCAGTGGAATCGCCAAGCTGTCGAAACGATTTTTTTTCCTGAAAGCTGAAAAAGTGAGATTTTAAAAACCACATTAATTCTTAATTATCCTCTTTCAAATGATTTTTAAATTAAAAACAAATGCGATTTAAAAGACCTCTCGTTTCGAAAAATTTTGGATTTCCTTTATGATAGCAAAAAATACGGTTCGAAGAGTCGCCACCAATCTTTGATTAGAGTGTGATTGACACCGAAAAATATTTTTGTTATTTTAAATAAAAATTAATTTTAATTAAAACAACAAGTTAAAGTCCGCGTTACCAAAATCGAGTTCGGGAGTCGGTTACGAGTGAGGAAGGATTAGCACCCCCACAATGCCCTAAATCGGTACGTAGTCGGTTAATTAACGTCTTTGCAATGAACTTTAGAAATTCGAACTTAATTTGATTTTTGATCCCATAAAACAAATATGTGAATTTAATAATATTCAAAAGAACTCAAATAAATTAAATTAAAATTACAAGTCGTTATAGAAAGATAAAGAATGTTCGATTATTTACAAATATCGAGACCAGATCTTAAAAGCTATAACAACCTTTTCTCGATAAATTTAAATAGCTGAACATTTCTTTTTCTTTCATTCCCAAATTTTAAAGTGATGGATCAATTTTTAGGCGTCACTAATGGGATATACTTTTATTTTAAAATCATTAAAATCGGACCTCAAATGCGTTATGACAACCCACTTAAAACAATTTTAAATTAAAAGTATATTACCCTTAATCCAATTATGTAATATGTCGAGTTATGCAAATGAGGTTACCATGCAATTTAATTGAATGATATGCTAACAAATGAGTCAAGTAAAAATTCAAAGGTATGCATAAAAACATATAATTAAAGCCATTTAATTATACGACTCATTCACCATTCTCAACACACAAATCATGAAAGAAGAAAATAAAAGACAAGTTGAATAATGACCCCACACCGAAGCTGACATAGCATTAGCTTGGGAAAACAACATGATATAAATGGGCGTATGCATTTATGCATGAAAGGTTATTACATGGTGACATGTGTAACCATGATAACAAAGAGCTGACAAATGTGTGCATTAATAAATGTGCATACGTATAAGCAATAGAACCAAACTACACTAAATATATATATATAACACCAAGCATCAAATAAGTATGAGGCTTAAATATATAAAATAGATATACCGTGGGACTAACATACAACTTAACAGAGTTATAAGTATTGGAACCAGGATAAATCCCAAACATACGTAGGATTAAAATAAAAAGATTCAGAATGACATTCCAAATGTATAAACAAACAAACAAACATTTAAATTGACATAAGACTAGTGACCTTAAGGAATTAACCCTAATAGGCTAATATAAAACTTATCTTAGACTAACCCTAAACTCATTTCAAACTAAACCTTCAGCCACACTTGTATCATCTTCTTCACTCTCATTTTCTTCTTGATGGAAACCAGAGAGCTACAAAACTCTCTTCGCCTGCCACCATGTTCAACGGCCACAGTAATGACACAAAACCTCTACTGAAGCAAAGCGACCACTACAATCCTTTATCGTTCAAAGCCTCCAACGACGGAAAGAAACTTACTGACGAAGAAGAAAGGTAAATTTTCATTTGGATTTTTCATTTCTATGGGCAAGGTTTCGTTTTTAACAGGATCTTAAATGTTTTTTCTAGATTACTCTTTCTAAAGATAATCTCCTAAACCGACCCAAGGATGCTAAACTAACAAGTTTCTAATCACCCTAAGGATGCAACCCTTAACTTCCTTTCACTAGAAATAGCCCCTATCACTAAGGTGAACATACCACTATTTCTTTATGTTTTTGATTTGGTTTCGATTCAAAACATATGCACACACAAGAACATTATGAAAGCAATAGATAGTGAAAATTTAAAAAAAATACCCTTTTTTAATTCTGTGTATTGCTTTGGTTCGATAAAAAAGGGCTCTGTTTCCTTTGATCTTCAAATACAATGTTTTTTCCTTCTCTGTAAAAAGAATCAATAGGGGAAGCTCTCTTGTGTTTTGAAAAAAAAAAAACAAATACAATGATCTCTAGTCTCTCTCGTAATGGTTTCTGTGTGTAATATCCTTTTTTCGATTTTTTTGTTTGTGATGCTTGATAATCTCTCGGATGATTCATCTCTATTTTTCTTTTCACTCTTTTTCCTTTTTCTCCTTGTTAACCCCCACCATCGGGTTGTTAACTGCTAAAAACCGATCTTGATTTTCCTTCTTTTTTGCATGCAACTGCTGATGATCATTGAGCTTGAGATGGGTCTTCAGCTGGTTTGGGGTCGGGTTAGGTTGCTATTGCTTCGGGTCTGTTCCGACATAACCCCGGACAAATCGAGTATTTACAATAATATCATCTAAATACTGTAAAATAATTTTTAAATTTTTTTTCTAATATGTACTAATTCGTTTTACGATACAGATTTTAATCATATTATAAAATACAAATATTATTATAAAGTTAACTACTTACTGTTTAATTAAAAAAACTTTCATTCCCTCTAGACAAATAATTACTGTTTGTATTATTTACGCGAGCAGTAAAAAATACGTAAGAAAACAAAACACGCGTACCACCGGTAATTCCTAATACATCAGCTAATCAAAGTCTAACATTTGGCTGCGCAGTATTGATTGACGGTTCTGTTAAAGACACGTAAGATCATCCCGTCCATACATATCCTGTCATTTCTCAAACTGATTACCGACAATTGCCGGTAGCTTCAAAGGAGGAACCCAAAAGAAAAACACAACATCAAATCACCCTTGTTTTCTTTCCATTTCGTCGACCTGTGCTTGCTTTGCTCCATAATAATTTCATATACGAAAAAAAAAACAAATTCCGGAAATTATTTATTATCAAATCAAACTTGATCTCAACTTTTCTTAGGATTTTGATATTCAAATCTTATTTTGATATAAAGAGGATCAAAAATCAAATTAATCAATCGTACTATGGAATTTTAACATTATTGTTCGGAAAGAGAGTAGAAAGCAGAATACGACGGAGATTGGCGAGGCAGATGGGGAATAACGGTGTGGAGGAGGCAGTAGTAGCTTTGAAGCTCAAAGAAGAATCGAATTGGTGGCACGAAGTTAACGAATCGCCGCTCTGGCAGGATCGGATTTTTCACATTCTCGCCGCTCTCTACGGTCTTGTCGCCGCCGTCGCTCTTGTATGAATCTCCTCCACTTTTCATCAATACTTTATATTTACCATTTAAGGGGAAAATATATTTGTTAGTATTTAGGGTTTAGCTCTCCGTTTGATTGCCTGTTCGTCTAGGAAAATTGATGATTACCCTTTTCAATTTGAAAAAAAAAGAAGGAAAAAAAAAAGCTTTTCCTTAATTGATTTACCCTTTTTAACGTGAAAAAGAAGGGGTGGAAATCTATGTGCAAGTAAGAATCTGTTTTAGAACTTTTACCTAATATGATGTTATTGTCAAGAATGTCGCTTATTAATGATCCGCGTTGTTTGTAAACTATTTAATTGTTTATATTTTTAGGTTCAACTGATTCGGATACAGTTGAGAGTTCCCGAGTATGGCTGGACCACGCAGAAGGTCTTCCATTTTCTGAATTTCCTGGTGAATGGGGGTTTGTATCTGAAAATTTCTATTAATAACACTTTTTTTTGTTGGTTTTTGTTTTGGGTTCTTTATTAATAATGCTTTCAATTATATGGCAGTTCGAGGGCTAGCATTTGTTTTCAGACGGGATGTGCAGAAGTTACATCCAGAGGTTTGCAATAAACCATTACATGTTTTATTTTTCTTTCCGATTTATACTCGAGATTGAATTGTTCATGATCTGTTGTCGGATGTTTCTTTTTTTTCTTAGATTGCTCAACATATCTTGCTTGACATGCCAAGTCTAGCTTTCTTCACGACTTATGCACTTTTGGTCTTGTTTTGGGCTGAGATCTACTACCAGGTTAGGTTACTGGAGCTTTTTCCTGTTTGTCTCCCTGGTCTGATCTTTCTTATTTTGTGTTACTTTAACTCTGTGTATCCTAAAACAGGCACGTGCTGTATCAACTGATGGACTAAGGCCAAGTTTCTTTACAATTAATGCTGTGGTTTATACCATTCAGGTAAATTTATGTTATATTATTTTGGTATAAGTGCCAACAAAAGGAGGATTGGAAGTTGAATTCATTGTATTCAGAAACTAGTTATATTTCATAAAAGATTGCTATTATATAGTATTATTTATTTACTTATTTGTCTAATTTCTTGCAAATTCTATACTGTAAATGGAATTATATCAATAAGCATATTGTTTTTTTTATAAGAATTTCAGGCCTCGTTAAAAACCTCCTCCTAGATTAGAGGAGCTTGAAAATAAGCTCCTTAATCAGCGGAAGGAGGAAAAGAGTGCCTTAGGATTTTATTGAACAAAACAATAAGATACATAAGATACATCCCTAGAAATGCACTAAACACAGGCAAGTACACACAAAGGAATCTTGCGCCCCATATACATCAACCAATTCCTTCCTTAGCTAAGGCATCAGCCTCTAGATTGGCTGTCCCATTTACCCATCTAACCACACCTTCGAACACATTAAGCCTATGAACAATGTCTCTAACCAAAGAAGCATAAACATCAGGGCATAAATCAACCCCCTTAATCCAATCCACTGCGATTTTGCTGTCACTTTCAATAATCAACCGGTCCTGTAGTCTATCTCGAAAATCAGCAAAGAAAATTAGCCCTTTTTGAATAGCTTTTAACTCCAAATAGGTCGGAGGCCCCAGACCAGCAGGCTCCTTGAAAGACCCTAAGGTATCTCCCGAGGAATCTTTTAAACCGCTCTTCTTCCAATCCTTAGTCGTAGCTGCGTCAACATTTATTTTTACAAAGCCCATAGGAGGAGGATGCCAAGGAAGAGTAGACATAATCAGCTTAGAACGGATGGAATAATAGTCCCCTAAAGAATGGTCTGAAATAAGAGTCTTTTAGAATATATACACCTTTATTTTTTGCTAGGAACCAGGAAGCAAGCCTAAATCTTGCTAAAAAGAAGAATTCAACCTCATCCAACTTCCCTCCTTCAAATACAATTGAGTTCCTCAATTTCCAAGTAGTCCAAATAACAACCCCTGGAATGAGAGACCAGATCATAGAATTAGTCCTCAAAGCATCCCAAGCCAGGAGAAAACTTTTAGCATTAGAATGGAAAACAGTCTTAATTTTCCAAAAGTTGAGGAATTTGTTCCAAACAGACCACACCACCGAACAAGAGAAAAAAAAATGTGAAGGAGACTCTTCCTCCATCATGCAAAGAGGGCATAACAGATTTTGAATTCCTGAAATTCCTCTTTTCACCAGTTCTGTTTTAACAGCCAACCTCCCTAGAACAACCTGCCACATAAATCACCAGGCCCTTTCCAAATCATTCCATCCGAACTATCTAGATAGAGCGAAAGACGAGATGACAGCCATCAGATTAGCCCACTGATCTATCTCCCAGTCATTTAAGTTCCTGCGAAACTGCACTTCTCAAATCCATCCAGTAGAGCTATACTCCCCAAACTCAACTAATTTACCCGTCTTGTTGATGGAAATGGAAAACAGTCTAGGAAAAATAAGCATAAGAGAATAATCCAAAGCCCAACAGTCCTGCCAAAATCGAATAAATTTGCCATCTCCAACTAAAACAGAACACATACTTCTCAACTTAGAGCCAACAGGGTCCTCTTTAAAGTGATTAGAAACCACTGATCTCCACAACCAAGAAACTTTGTTTGGTGTCTTATTTTCAAACATTAACAAAGAAGGATCCAGATTATATTTAGAACAAATAAAATCCCTCCAAACAGACCCCCTTTCGTTTGCATACCTCCAAGACCATTTTTCTAAAAGTGCTCTATTCATCAAATTCAGATTCAACACACCCAAACCCCCCTCCATCTTTAATTTGCATACATTCGACCAGCTAACCCAGTGGATCTTCCTTTTATCTACTCCCCCTCCCCATAGAAAATTTGACATCATTGAATTGAGGGTTTTAAGAACCGAAGCTGGTATCTTAAATAGAGATAAATAATAAATAGGGAGCGAACATAGAACCGACTTAATCAGTACCAATATCCCTGCTAAAGAAAGAGAGGCAACCTTCCATCCTGTTAACTTTTTGGAAAAATTACTGATCACTGGATTCCAAATAGAAGCAGAATTCCTAGTAGCCCCCAAAGAAAGCCCTAGATAGTCGGAGGGAAAGCTACCAACTGAACAACCAATAGTGTGAGCCCACTCATGCACATCCTCGTCATTCAAATTCACACCAAATAGTTTACATTTCTTCATATTGAGTTGTGAACCCGAAATTACTTGAAACACTCGAAGCACCCTTTTCACATTTAGAATTTGCGTTTTCGAAGCACCACTAAATATAATGAGATCATCCGCAAACTGTAAGTGAGAGAGCTTAAAAGACCCCTCATCCCTCCCAATAACCAGTCCCGAAAACAGCCCCCGAGAAGCAGCCTTTAAGATCAGTAATTAAGGAGTTCACCAATAAAATTAAACAACAAAGGAGATAAAGGACATCCCTGTCTAAGACCCTTTGCCATAGAAATTTCCTCAGTAGGAACTCCATTAACAAGAACAGAAACTGAAGCTGTGGTAACACATTTTCTGATCCAGCCTCTCCACCTTGAACCGAAACCCATCTTCTCCATAACTAAAAGCAGAATATTCCAATCCACCGAATCATAAGCTTTCTTGAAATCAGCTTTAAAAACACAGCCTTTAAGCCCATTTTTCCTCAGATAGTCTATTCCTTCATTGGCAATTAAAGAGCAATCTAATATTTGTCGGCCTGGTATAAAAGCGAATAGTGTAGGGCTGATTAATTCTGATATACAGCTCCTCAACCTCCTCGAAAGACACTTAGAGAGTATCTTATATAATCCACCAACTAAGCTAATAGGTATGAAGTCATCAAGATCACCACTATTAGATACCTTAGGGATAAGAGTAATAAAGGTATGATTAATACCATGTTCCCACTCTTTACCCAAATAGAAGTTATTGAAGAACTTCATGACATCTCCCTTAAGCACATTCCAAAATCTCTTAAAGAATCATATATTTAGACCGTCTGGCCCAAGAGCTTTATTCCCATTACAAGACTCTAAAGACTCCCAAATTTCCTCCTCAGTGAATTCTTTCTCCAATCTCAAACTCTGCTTGTGAGTAATACTTTAAAAATCCAGTCCTATGTCTTCCACTTGTAGAGTAAACTGATCATTGAAAGCCTTGAAAAAATGATCTCTGACTGTTGACTTAATCACATTCGGGTCATGAACAGAGTTGCCATTGACAAGTAGAGCATTCAAGGCATTTCTTTTCCTCCTAATTGAAGCACATGTATGAAAATATCGTGTTTCTGTCACCATCTTCTACCCACTTCGATCTTGAGTTTTGGAACCAAATCTGCTCCTCTATCTTATACAACCTCCACAATTCTGATCTTAACACTTCAACTCATGTTCTATCTCAGAATTGGAACCAAGACCATGATGAACATCCACTTCTAGCTTCTGAATCTTTAATTCAATATCTGAAATCAAATCCCCAGGAAACTTGTATTTTCTACTGGGTTCCCAATTTTTTATTGCAATTTTGGTATTCTTCAGAATGCTGAAAATTCCAGCATTCCTCTGATTTTTCTTACAATCTTGAATTGATAAGCTGACCAAATCCTCGAAACCAACTTCATCCATCAATAAGCATATTGTTAGTAAATGATTTTTTTTTTCGTAGAGGGAGAATCTAAAGTTTCTGCCCTACATGGCAAAATTTTCAGTGGACTTATTTTCTGTTTTAATTCTTTAATTGCATGAGAACTAAATTAGAAAATAATCAAATGCCCATTTTTTTATTTATGAGATGAATATTGTGGGAAGATTAGTTCAAAGCAAAAAAACACGTCTGCTTCAAGGGAGAAGATAAATTTAGAGAAGCAAAGTTGATAAGAAGCGATTGGTAGCTTGGAACTTCTCATGTGTTATGTTATACTAATTTGCTTATGTTTGCTAGTTCACTCCTCAACTTTGTTATTATTTATGATGCTCTGAAATTCTTCACACTGTATTTGTGTTAGCTTCATTTTCCTTCATTCTGTTGTTGATTTCTTCTGCTGGAGCAATGCTTATAAGCTAGTCTTGTACTCGTTTCTATGAAATATGAGGTGGTTGGATAAAGGTAACCATAAGATTAAGATAGTAGGCTAGAAGACACTATAACTTTGACTCGAACAATGTCAAGGATGTCAATGGAACTTGTTCTACATTTTTGTAGTAAATATGAACCTACAGTATAGATTTCTCTCATCCTAGCTAGGCAGTCATTCTATTACTCTTTGCAAGTATTGTTGCATACTACTTTGGCATTATATCTTTTGAGAAGATATTACTAAATTTCTTTTTTGTGATGTGGGGCTGGGGGGAATTGATTGCAGATTGCAATGTGGCTGATATTATGGTGGAAATGTATACCAGTTTTGGTCATCCTCTCTAAGGTGTTCTTTGCAGGTAATTATTTGCTATATCCTTAGTAGGTTCATTATAGTTAACTGTTCGTCGGGTGCTTTCTAGATATTTTATGGATAATCACTCGGGCTCTGTTCTGTAAAATGCTTCTTTTTTTTCTTATCTTTTATATTCTATTCACATTTTATTTTTGCTTTTCCTCATATCCTGTCATTTTTTTTGGCAAAAAAGTAAAAAAGAAGTGCAGCAAAGGGAAAAAATTAAAAGCATTTAGCAAATGGAGCCTAAGTAATTTTAGATGCTTTATAGATATTAATCTCGTAATTTGTTTTCACTAAGGAATAAATAAATTATTTTAATCTTATGTATATGCGCAGGTGTGTCATTGTTTGCAGCCCTTGGGTTTTTACTATATGGTGGAAGGTAATTATATTGCATTTATTATATTGTTGCATGTTATTTTATAGCATAAGATCAAATTCCGTGTGTTTATGTGGTTTTTTTTTTGTTAAGGTTACATGCTGAAATTGGTATATCATTGTCATTTCTATGTTGTTCAAACTTGTGCTTGTTATTGGCAACTCTTCTGCTTCTTTGTTAAAAGTTATCTCTTCTTAACTAAGGTCTAGTATAATGACGGGACATCTTACTTGTTCCGCGAGCTAATTCAATATGTATGGTATTATACCTCAAAGTGGCTTAAGGGGTTTGGAATCTTGTGAAGACAGAATTAACATTTACTTTTCCCAATATTTTTATTACATTTATTGTCTTCATCCTTTTTTTCCAATTTATGAAATAATTTCAATTGTTAATTTTTGAATCATTCTTTATTTTCTTAAAAAGCTATTTTAGGTACGAAAAATAGAATTGGTTGCATTAGCTGATAGAAAATATTGAACTCCACTTACCTTTATTCATTTCACAATAAATACATCGTATTTCTCATTTTATTAGGAAATATTAAACATAAGATGTTATATTAAACCTTTATATCCACGATTTCTTTTCTATTTATTGAAAATGTCTGCTCATATGATTTGTAAGCAAATTGCATTGAGAAGCTGTGTAATAATATTTCTCTTTGCAGACTTTTCTTAATGTTGCAGCGATTCCCTGTAGAGTCCAAAGGGCGGCGTAAGAAGCTGCAAGAAGTACATATCTACTCTCTAGTTGTGGTTTCTCATTCCAATAATTCTTTTATTTACTATTTTTTTACTGTTATTTCTTTTTGGCTTGGGCAGGTTGGTTATGTGACGACCATATGCTTCTTATGTTTCCTAGTCAGATGCATTATGGTGATCTCTTCTTTCCTTTCTGGCTCTTCTATCTACATTTTTCAAATTGACATGCTTTAAGCAAGTTTCTTTAGGCTTTATGAAACTTTAGTTGAACCTTTAGCTGCTAGCTGGTTTAGATTTAGATCAATATCCAATTCATCAATCGTTGGTTGTTTGACTAGTTTTTATCATATTTGAGCTCTATTGTTGTTTTCTGTGTAGATGTGCTTTAATGCATTTGACAAAGCCGCTGACCTTGATGTTTTAGACCATCCAGTTCTAAACCTCATATATTACCTGGTAAGTTTGGCAAATAGTTCTATCATGTTGCTTATTGCTACTGATTAAGAAATTCATATTGAAACAGTGTGAAGGTTGCCTAACTCATCTTATTGCCATACAAATACTGAAAAATTGTCACATTTGCCTCGTGTATTTGCTGCTTACTTGTTTTAGTTAACTAGGAATGCATATTTCAAGAAACTGATAGTTCAGTAGGCAATTTACAAGTCTTTTGTTGACATCAGATTATCACGTAGAAGAATGTTCTATGACCAGCTTTAATCGAACCTTTATGACTTTTGCAAGAACAGGAGGTTGTTTTAACATCTATACTATTTGGTCGGTTAGTCTATCAACACGCAACTGCAAACTAACTCTTGGACCTTATGTTTAACAGTTTATCTATGTAGTTTCTCTGATAATTGAAACTCAAGCCTGCTAGTTACAGTTTCTCTGATAATTGAAACTCAAGCCTGCTAGTTACCTATGTAGTTTCACTGATAATTGATACTCAAGTCTGCTAGACTTAGGTTTTTGAATTTTACTAATGAAATTGAAGAACAGCTTTCAGATTTTGTGAGAGTTTTCCTGTTACATTTTGTTTAATTAAATATAATAGATTTATCATTGCAACTATATTCTGATTGTATTGTTGAATATAATCAACACATGACTTGCACTACATTGTACGACCTATATACACCGTGTGTCGGTAATATGCTTCATTTGTCTAGTACTTTAATATAGATAATAATCAGTAGCTAAGTCGGTATCTACTGAGCAATGAGCTGTTTCAAATTTACAAGATAACCAAATAAAACAATTAAAGTGCGGAACTCAGTTCTCTCCCTACCATTATTTTTTATTCACCAAGACTTATTATATCCTTATAATTCTTAAGCATGGGACTAAGAATTCTTCGCTGGGTCTCAGATATGGACAGCAATGATGGTAAAAATGGTAAAAACGAGGTAGTTGGCAATGGTTAGACTTGGGGTGCAATAATCCTTTTTTCAGTTAAAGTTGCACTAGAAGGAATTTTCTTCTCTTACTACTATATACCTTTTGCTACCAAAATTGAAAGGACTTGCTATCATGTTGTACTGTGTTTGAAAATACAAGGTTTATTTGTTTGATAATGCGGATTAGAAATATAACTTTGGAATATGTTGGGCAGTTGGTGGAGATACTACCTTCATCTCTGGTGCTTTTCATACTGAGGAAGTTGCCACCAAAACGAGGTATTACCCAGTATCATCCCATAAGCTGAACGATTCAGATGCTTTTTGTAATGGTTCTTATCCTGTACCCTGCAAAAAAGAAGAAGAGAAAATCAGGAATAGTTAAGGGCAAAAACTCAATGGTCTGGTGTTTTGTTTGTACTCACAAGCTGACCTCATGGATTCTGAACTTCTCAGTGTGTAGATTTTTGTTTGAATTTGTTTTTGGAGTAGACCTATACAATCGTGTAAGCTGATGATTATATTTTGCTTTATGGATTAAATTGCTAACAAAAAGATGTGATTTCAGGATGAGATGACTTCCCTCGGCAAAAATTATTTCATAGCTGAATCAAAATGTGATTTATGCAATTTCAATACTGAAAAACAATATATATCTATATATAAAGAACCTTTTTTTCTAATGGTTGAAAAACCTACCATTCTAAACCTAACTCTTAACATTTTCTTGAATGGTAGCTGAGCATTATTACGTTAGAGGATTAAAGGCATTTGATTTACCATTTACTGAGCTGAATTCGTATTTTTGGGCTAAGATTGAGTTGTTAACAGGTATAAATGACTGGTTTACGTCATTAATTTAATGAATTAATTTATATAATTATCATTAAATTTACACTATGGCATTAGATAAATCTATGTAAGTTTGAATTTCATTCTTCACAACCGATTTTTAGAATCGAAACAGGCAAAAATGTCCGTTGCATGTGTGTATTTTCCATTGAAATGTTAAATAGATTAATTTAACATTTAAATCTAATTATTAGGAACGAAAATAAATAGAAGAGAGATTCAAAAGTGGTTGTCGACTACCTGTATTTTTATTGTCTTTTTTTTAATATTGTACTTCTAGTTTCTTTAGTTTTAATTTTATTTTAAATAAGTCTATTTGTATCATACGTTTTCATTTGTCTTTATGACATATTTTCTTATGTTTTTTGGCATATTTTTTTATTGTTTGATCGTTTTTTATTTATCTTTTTTTTCTCTAACGGTTGATTTGATATCGTCACGACTGATCAAGATGACACTTATCTGATATCTTGTTGATCTTTCCTGCTTTAGACCCTCGAATTAGATTTGGATAGCTATAGCTTTTCACGTCGCTCGAGTTTTGATTTGCGGTTTGTCGGTGGTCTTTCAATAGCTTGATTTTTTTTGTGGTTCGTTTGTCGATGCTATTAAATTTGTTTGTATCTCTGTTCGAGTTTCTTAATTAGATTTTTAATATTTCCTTGTACGATCTTTATGTGATCTTAAATTGTTAGTTTTGTTTCAATAATTATAGAATTTTTTTTTAATTATGTGTTTAATTTAAGTGATGGTAAATCTTTATTGTAATTTGTGATATTTTTTATTTTAATTAAATTAGTTATTCTAAAAAAAAATTCAAAAGCGAAAGGAGAAGGCACAATACTGTCTTTTAACTGTAGATAGAAAGTGAAGCAGGTGTCATTCAAAGAACATAAACGTTTAAAATTAATACACCGGGAGCAAACTGAGTCGTCACTTGTTTCAACAATTGAAGGGGACAACAAAATTATCTGTAGAAAACGAGATCTTGATATATATACCCAAAACCCAAAATCATCTCTGCCGCCCACTTGCATGGCCATGGGTGCCTCTTGTCACGAAATTGGGCCTTTTCCCCACACTTTGGGCTATGTTGGGCCACATTTGGTCTTGGAGGTTGATAGAATAGTGTAGATTATTCTAGAACACTCAAGACTTGTACATATTCTAGAAGCATTCTAGAGTCTTCCATGTTAGGTAGGAAATATAATGGAGAATTCTAGAGAATCTCTCCCTACCGTAGGATCAAATCAATCTCCACCGTCCATTGAGGAGGTGGGATGCTATAAATAGGTGTAGAATCCTCATTTGTAAATCATCCAAGAGTTGTAAGCATTCAAGCATTCAACAAGCTTTCTCTCTAAGTTCTTTCCTTTCTTCTTTGTTTCCTTGCCAACCCTTTCTCTAGCACGAGTTCGAGTGAGGCTGACTTAGCTATCGCAAGGGGCGAAAAGGAGCTAAGGCCGCACGAGGCTTATTGAGCGATTAAGTCCGTGACAGTTGGTATCAGAGCCAGTAAAGGCGTCAATATCGTGCACGTGTATTGTAGGAATGGCCGGAAATTCGAACGAGTCGACTGTTGCTGAGGAACGTGGAAGAGAAGCTGCACCCAACAACAAGAATAAGAAGAGGGACCAAAGTAAGGCCCGCGAGAGCGCTTCCATAGAACCGATGGTGGCAGAGTTTGGCGAGAAGCTGGAGAGGGTCCAACACGACTTCAAGACGTTGGAGGACCATGTCTTGGAGCAAGTTGACACACTCAAAGGAAATGCCGAAGAGACCAACAACGAGGTGGAAGCTCGGTTCATACAACTAGAGGATATGATCCAAGCCGTCCGTGAAAGCATCGAGGGGATGCGGGAGGACTTGACGCTCTGCAAGAGAGCCGCCGTTAGCGGGAGCGCTAACCATGTCTCCACCCCGAGGGTCGAGTGCCCCAAGCCACAAGGGTTCAACGGGGCAAGAGACGCCAAGGAAGTCGAAAACTACCTATGGCGGATGGAGCAATACTTCGAGGGAATCGGCCTTAACGACGAGGCCGCCAAGGTAAGACCGCTGCCTTATATCTTTCCGATACTGCTATGTTATGGTGGCGTAGGAAACATGCCGACATTGAGCGAGGAGCTTGTCGGTAGATATGGGATGAGTTCAAGAAAGAACTCAAGAAGCACTTTTATCCCGAGAATGTGGTCTACGAGGCTCGCAAGAAATTACGGGAGTTGAAGCAACGGGGTATTATGCGGGACTATGTGAAAGAGTTCACAACTCTTATGCTTCAAATCCCCAATATGTCCGAAGAAGATCTCTTGTTCTACTTCATTGACGGACTACAAGGATGGGCCAAGCAAGAGATGCACCGTCGGGACATTAAAACGGTTGATGAGGCCATTGCCATCGCCGAGTCACTCGTCGACTTCCAACCCTACTCCCACACCAATGCAACGAAAAATAAAGATAAGTATCCAGCCAAAGGTGGGGGAGAACGGTGGGAGAATTACCAAGGCAACCGAGACCGAGATCACCGAAGGCCACAAGCTAAAGAGGGAGATCGTGATCGACGTCCGGGGCGAAGGGAGGTGGGAGAATTACCAAGGCAACCGAACCGAGATCACCGAAGGCCACAAGCTAAAGAGGGAGATCGTGATCGACGTCCGGGGCGAAGGGACTATGAAGAGAAGAAAAAGCCTTCGTTCCCAAGGAGGATGTTTCTTGTGTAAGGGTCACTCCAAGTTCTAAACGCCTTGAAGGCCAAGCCATTGACACCAACATCGAGTAATGGGCTCATGTATGTAGAAGCGGTGATCAACGAGAAGCCGACAAGAGCCATGGTGGACACGGGAGCTACCCACAATTTTGTGTCTAAAGACGAAGCCAACCGTTTGGGCCTAAAATACACTGGGAGCACAGGATGGCTCAAGACGGTAAACACACAAGCTGTACCACTCCATGGCGTGGCACGAGGGGTCGAGCTACGCTTAGGCACTTGGAAGGGCCAAGTGAACTTTTCTGTCATTCCCATGGATGACTTTAAAGTCGTTTTGGGGTTAGACTTTCTCCGACAGGTAACCGCTATCCCTAGCCTTCCTTTAGTTCTGTTTGCATCTTGGAGAAAGGGTCTCCTGCATGATCCCCACGGTCGAGGCACCGAAAGAGCAAGGCGAGATGCCACACAACTCTCGGCCATACAACTTGGTAAAGGCATCAAGAAAGGGGACATTACTTATTTGGCCATGCTAAAGGAGATGACGAGATCGAGAAAACGGATGACCTACCATTGATCATCCGTGAAGTCTTAGAGGAGAACAAGGACGTGATGCCGCCCGAGTTACCAAATAAACTTCCACCGAGGCGTGAGGTGGATCACAAGATCGAGTTGGAACCCGGTGCCAAGCCGCCTGCCTGGCACCCTACCGAATGGCCCCACCCGAACTTGAGGAACTTCGAAGGCAACTCAAGGAGTAGTCGATATGGGAATGATTCGACCTTCGAAGGCACCGTATGGCGCACGGTACTCTTCCAAAAGAAGCACGAGGGTCATTGCGCATGGGCGTCGATTACCGGGCACTTAACAAGGTAACCATTAAAAATCGCTACCCGATCCCTTTGATTGCGATTTATTTGACAGACTTGGAGGAGCCAAGGTGTACACAAAGATGGACTTGCAAAAGGCTACTACCAAGTTCGAATAGCAGAAGGCGACGAGCCAAAGACCGCATGCATCACCCGATACGGATCGTTCGAGTGGTTGGTCATGCCCTTGGTCTAACCAATGCACCGGCGACGTTTTGCACGCTCATGAACAAGCTCTTCCAACCGTACTTGGACCAGTTCATGGTGGTGTACTTGGACGATATCGTGGTATACAGTAACTCCATCAGAGAACAGTAGACCACTTGAGGATTGTGTTCAAGATACTTCGAGAAAACGAGCTGTACGTCAAGAAGGAAAAGTGCACGTTTGCCACCGAGGAGGTACACTTCCTTGGACATGTAATTGGCCACGGGAAGCTATTAATGGATAGGAACAAAATCAAGGCCATAACCGAGTGGGAACCGCCGACCAAGGTAAGTGAGATGAGGTCCTTCCTTGGTCTAGTAAATTATTATCGCCGGTTTATACAGGTTACTCGGCGCGAGCATCACCATTGACGGACCTACTCATACATACCGATGCATCCGACTTCGCTATCGGGGGAGTATTAATGCAAGAGGGGCACCCGATAGCATTTGAGAGCCGCAAGCTGAATGACCGAGAGGCGGTACGGTGCAAGAGAGAGGAGATGACAGCCACATCCATTGCTTGCGGGTATGGAGACATTACTTACTCGGCGCGCACTTCACCATCAAGACCGACACGTGGCGACGAGTTACTTTCAGACCCAGAAGAAGCTATCACCAAAGCAAGCTAGGTGGCAAGACTTCCTAGCCGAGTTCGACTACACGTTGGAATATAAGCCGGGCAAAGCCAACGTTGTAGCCGATGCCTTAAGTCGAAAGGCGGAGCTCGCTGCAATCTCTCTAGCCAAGGGAACCGTGTTGGAGCGCATCAAGGAGGGCCTTGAGCAAGATCCAATGGCAAGAGAATTAGTAAAGCTGGCTAGCGATGGCAAAACCCAACGGTTTTGGGTAGAGGACGGTCTACTCTACACCAAGGGACGACGAATCTATGTTCCAAAGTGGGACAACTTAAGGCGAGATCTTGTCAAAGAGTGTCACGAT